TTTCATATATGTATGTAGAGTTATGGTCGCTAAGAATGCGTGTAGATGCAGAGGATGTCTTTTTGAGGTTTCTATATTTCTTCATGTTGTTGTGGTGGTCATTGAAACTTGATGCGGTGTAGACATAGGTGCAACCTGGCATTTTTGCTTATTTTTACACATATGAGTAGGGTTGCCACCTTTCTGGATTTCACCCGCACAGCCCTGTTTTTGAAGGGGCTGCCCGGGTGAAAAGTGCCTTTCCGGATTTCCAAATTCGGAATTCCGGACAGGACATTGAAGTGAATGACATGGTGATCAGGTAATCGCTGATCGACACGTCACCGCCCCGCCCCGATGTCATCCGGCCCGCCTCCCAACATCACCTCCCTGCCCTCGACGTTATCCGGCACGTTCCCTCAACGTCATCTGGCCCACACCCCAACATCACCGGCCCGCCCCCTGCTAGGTTTCCCCAAAGAAGAAAGGTGGCAATCCTACTTTCAGGGGCGGAGAGGGGTGGCATCAGCGGGGGCGACATGTGTGCCATGGGCATTTGCTTGGCACACAGGTTGCTCCCTGGTCCTTTCGTTTGCTCTGGAATCTTTATGGAACAATGCGAAGGGACCCGCTGACAATTTTTTTCACTTGTGACTTGAAATAGTGTTGCGCTTGGTCTACGTCCGCATCTTTTTTTGCACATGACCAAAAATGTTCAATATTGTTTTATTGTATTGAATTTATCTATTGGTATTTGTGTCTCATGGGTATGCTTTTGCTAAAAGTTTATTGCATTTCTTGTTTTCCTAATTTTTCTCCAGTTTATTGCTTTCAAATATGTATGTAGATTTATGGTCGCTAATAATGTGTGTAGATGCACAGGATGTCTTTTTGAGGTTTCTATATATCTTCATGTTGTTGTGGTGGTCATTGAAACTTGATGCGGTGTGGACATAGGTGCAAACAGGCATTTTTGCTCATTATTAAACTTACAGGGGCGGATAGGGGTGGCGTCAGCGGGGTCGATGTGTGTGCCTGGGGCATTTGCTTGGCACACATGTTGCTCCCTGGTCCTTTCGTTTGCTCTAGGATCATCATGGAGCAATGCGAAGGGACCCGCTGACAATTTTTTCACTTGTGACTTGATATAGTGTTGCGCTTGGTCCACATCCGCATCTTTTTTTGCACATGACCAAAAATATTCATTATTCTCATTTTTGTATTCAATTTAACGCTTGATATTTTTGTCTCATGGGTATGCTTTTGCATAAAATGTATTGCATTTCTTGTTTTCCTATCTTTTGTCCATTTTTTTGCTTTCATATATGTATGTAGAGTTATGGTCGCTAAGAATGCGTGTAGATGCAGAGGATGTCTTTTTGAGGTT